GCACGCACCCACACACACCGCACGCCCGCGTACACATACGCCAGCGGCCTGCGTTTCATGCACGCCCGCTATTATTTATACACACCTGTATTTGTTCAAATTCAATGATAGGTTTCATAAAATAATTAAACAGTGATTCAAAGAAATGTGCTGTTTCAACTCAACCGTTCTTGATTCGCCAGGCGTCTGCCTCTGATATCCCTCTGCCGCCAAAAACTGCAGTTTATCAAGAATTTATAGACGGGAGTAAAGTGGCCAAATGGTTACAACTCCGCAAATTTAAATACACCAATTAAGTTCCTTACTTAACTCACCCCAACTTGCGTCTGCTGCCACCAGCTGCCATAACCAAACCTGCTAATAAGTTTAGAGCAAGATATCTCAATGCTAATGATCATGGGGGGGGTACATTCCCCTTTTCCCAGCAAAAAACACCCCATATCCCAGTTCCCAGTAAAATAAAATCCCAATTCCCAGTTCCCAGGAAATTATGTAGACATGTTTCAGCAAATTCAATAGTTTAGGTTTTCAAACACTACATAAATACTAATATTTACATACTATTATTTATCTGGGCATAATTAATAAAAAAATAATAATATTAATAAATTAAATAAATATTAGCGCAGAAATTGAAATCCCGATGAATTGACACAATTTTCCCAGATCCCAGACAATTTTAGAGGGTCTTTCCCACGTCCCGATGGACTTCTATTCCCGAATCACGGAAAATTTATCTGACATTTCCCAGTTCCCAGGTAATTAAAATGGCCAATCCCGCGTCCCGAAAATACCCGTTCCCCCCCTCTGTTATACCGTTGACGATGAGGCGGTTGTGGCATGATTGACAGATCTGCTCGTCCACGCGCACGCCGCGGCTACGTGCCTTCACCAGCCGATGCAGCAACTGAAAACTGTCCTTAACCAGAATGCGCTTGCAACCTTCCCTCAGCGCGATCTGAAATCATCAATAACATATCACCTAATTGCATTTTTGTCACTTAAATTTAGATTAAATTTTAGATAAATTTTTAGATAAAATTTTAGATTAATTTTTAGATAAAATTGCACTCTTAAATATTAGACCTCAACCGTCTGTGATGTAGCAGATTCACCTTTAATTTTTGAAAGTTATAATGACGTGTTCGACTGCAGGCAGATGGCACCACGACCGGGCACAAAGAAGTTTATCACGGGGGATGAAGTACAGAGGGGAGGGAGGGAGAGAGGGAGAGAGGGAGGGCTATGATGTTTGTTCTGGCGCGCGATGCTACGTGGGGGCCAGTGGAGGTAGAACATGCGGACGTATGCACACGGATGCGAATTAGTTAGCTTAGACACGCTCGGGTGGGGTTGGTGGCAGTCATTGATACTAGTGCCCCGTACAGACTACGAATCTGATATGGTATTAAACTAGCGCGAGTCAGGCTCGCGCTAAATATTTGCAGTGTGTACACGCTATCCCACTCCAAATACGCGCTGGCCCGCTCCAAGTTAGCCCCGCAAATGAAGCAGGGCCAGGCCCGGGCTAACTTGGTCCGGACTATAGCCGCGTTCACACGGTCATGGTTTGGCTCGAGCCAAATGGGCTAAGTCTACTGTCTGTCAAATTCAAATTCAAATTCAAATAAATTTTATTGCACACACAGATACTTTGGCTCGTAGGGTCTATGTCCCCCTAACCTCTGTTTGACCTGGCTCGTTTAGCTATTTCTGACTAATTATGTTAAAGCCCTGCGCCGATAGAAGTGGTAAACACTTAATTTGTACGTAATGTAGGCCTAAGTCAATAAGGAACGATTATTTCGACAGGCTATAGCAGTGGTTCCCAACCTAGAGTCCCCGGACCCCTGTGGTCCCCGAACGCCTGGGGTCCGTCAAGGTAGTACTAGCGTGTCCGTGAGCTAAGTTCAAAATTTTAAAGAGGTTCCAGCGTAAAATGTTTAATTACTCACGATAAGACTGCTAAAGATAAACTTTCAAAATTTCATGTTTCGTTGTTCTTAGCTGGTTATCGACTCAGTATGGCAACATTGGTTGTGCGAGGTAGATGTTTTAGCTATAAAATAGCCTAGCGGCTGCTTCCACCGAGAAAACATTCCATGGGAAAAAACCTGGGGTCCGTGGGAAAATTTATTTAAATAAAAGGGGTCATTGGTGGTGAAAAGGTTGGGAACCACTGCCGCTATAGCCGTCTACGCATGTGTTGGCTTGCCAGGACAGTCATTTGTGTCTGCAGTCAATTTAAATTCTGGTGCTTTTCAATTTGTCGTTATTTATGCGTTACTGTGTATGTTTTATTCATAGAGCCCAGAGCGGTAACGATGACATGCAATGCTAAAACAGTGATAATCTACCTAACCTAACCTAACTATGATATATAAATTGAAAAATTACGAGCTATGAGGGTAGGGGAATACATTAATGGAGACACCTAAGTATTATTACCATATATTTCTGCCATTTTATGGCTAGAGCAGAACGCAGTTGGAATAAATATTCTAGTTACTAATAAGTGCATGTACCTTCGAATTTACGAAACTAGGTGGGTGGTGGTTGGGTTGAAAATCCAACATACATGGTGTCAGAATTCTGGATACTCCGGCGTTATCTGGAATTTCCCAAATATAACCTAATAAACGTACAATCCAGCAATTGACTCATTGCAACATCTTTCGTGTGCGAGGGTGGATCTATTTAAAACACACGTACGCACGCACACGCTCTCACAAAATAATACACACCCACGCGTACACACCTCACGCTACACACCGCCGCGCATTCACTCACGGACACACCGCGCACGCACAAAACCTGACACTAGAGCCACAGAGCGTTTCTGCGGCTCATCTGACGGTCTGTTGCCTAGAAGATAAACGCTACATTTAAGTCGTGCGTAGTTTAGACCTGTGTTAAGCACGCATAAGAACAGAACTACACACAATTGCCATGTACGATTTTCACTGTTAGAAACGGGGTAATGGTCGCCATCCTTACAAACAATTCACCTTTACACGTTATTCTCTTGCCGACTTTTTATGTAGCTCTGGGAATCGTACTGGATTTTCTATAGCACTTTGATTATATATATAAATATAATATCAAGAGCTCACTAATAGAGATATCTTTTATAATTCATTATTCATATAATTCATATTTAATTCATAATCTCTATTATGAGCTCTTGATATATATATATATATATATCAAAAAACTGCCTATTACTACTTCATAAATATACACTCAGAAAATTACGCGCGCCTGTGATGTCAAATATATAATATATATTCTAGGATTTTGTCATAGAATGAAGTGCAGATGCTGGGCTAGCATGTCATGATGCTAGCTAGCATTGATTCTGTTTGAACTTTGAGAGTTGGTTTCAGGTCAGAGGCCGCCGAGAAGAATTCGGCGACGCGATCTTCCTTAGCAACATCTAATTCGAAGCGGAAAAGCATATCTTTCTCGTCTGCTCCACCGAACTCGGGAAACATTAGTATGGGTGTGGGTTCACCGTTAGCAAGCAGGACCTCTCAGTTAGTCGGAACCGTTATCACAGTACTAATGACGGCTATGCCGCGAATGCCACAGCGAGGTCCCGGTGGTTACCACGGCGTACATGATGTATTTCAACGGAATAAGCAGGAACTGCGAATCTTACTATATGCGGTCGCTATAGTTAAATCTTGTAGTTTTAGTCATGTAAATATAACGTTCGATTGATGATTCACGCTTCGTGTGTTAACGGGTGCTACGTGACCCACGTACAAAACACTACAAACACAGTCGGACAGAGAGGGAGTGAGATCAAGGGAGGGGGCAAAGAGAGAAATAGAGAGAGAACGCGAGAGAGGAAATGGAAATAAGAGAGAAAGAGAGGACGAGAAGCAGAGAGAGAGAATACGGAGAGCAGAGGAGAGACGAGAGCATGGGCGGCGGATGCGGACAGACAGCCAGAGCAAAGAAAGAGAGGAGACGCAGAGAGGGGAGGGGAGAGAGACTGAGAGAGAGCAGAAAACAAAACGATGACGGACATGGACAGACAGACACACACACAACACAATATGTTCCAAGGCAGTAGCTGCTTATGCGGATGAGCTCATTCACATTGTGTTCGTGCTAAAACATTAATATCAGCCGCCGCTAAACGGCTAAACATCAAATCGGGAAAGTCCCCCTTTATATCAGATATGGAGGACGCATTCCAGTAGAATCGAAGGAAGGAGAAGACGCCTTGTCTACGTGATCCCCGAGCTTGCCCCGCGGGGGACGTTAAACAGCCTTGTACGCTGAGCCTCGCCGATTCACTCAGATACGCGTATAAGCGAGGCACACACGTGTAGTCGTTTTGCTTAATTTTTGATGTGGAACACGAATTCACGAGTTTTAGCCGATTGAAATAATGCGGTGGTGCATCACAAGATACAGGAGAACCTGGATTTTGGTGGTCAGGCGTGTTTTTACAGTCGCGAATGTACTCAGCATTTAACGTGCGACTATCTCGCATTAAAAATAGATTTCACTCGAGCGAACCGGCCCACAATCGCAAACTTTTCACGTTTATGATGAAATCTACGGTTACGGATCAATCTCCGAATACATTACATCAAATAATCACAGGCACCGTGTGTAAAATAACAGACACGCATTTCTGCAGCAATCACTTACAGAGAGAGAGACAAGCCTCTCTGTTACTCTTTAACGATTAGGAAAATACAGATTTCTATAAGCGGAAGTGAACAGTAAATTCACAAACAGATTTTTGTAAATTAATACCAGGGTGGACGAATTTTTAATTAAATCGCCGCATGGTGTTATTTACATATGATTAAATTGTCAATGTACAATCAACAAACGACAAATACGAAAAACCACCTATCCATCACACTCATTATCACCTCTCATGATCAAAAAGTACTATATTGGAGAAAGGTCAACAAATACAATTCTCTACATGCCGACATAGATTTACAAACTGTTTCGCTAGCTCTTGACGTACGCCACGTAATAAAACAGGACACGCGGCAGCAACGCGGATCACAAAGGTGTGGAATCAGGAACCAAATATGAGAAAACAAACGCCCACTCCCCCCCCCCCCAACGCATGGAGAACCGCGATATGAAAAAGCCGAGAGTAACCGGCTTATTAGAAACCACAGTAGTTCACGAGTGTGTATAAGTTGCTTAGTATATTGTATATTTACATCAAATCATTTGTGCTGTGCATCCGTACAGAATATACACAACAGATGCCGCGAAATGTATATATATATTTCATTTATTGGAAATTTTTTTTTTTTTATATAACGTATTTATGAGTAAATTAATAAACAATGTTTATAGTACTGCACTGCCCATATTACAATCAACATCAGCACTAAAGCGCCAACAAAGCATTCTTCCCTTATTTAATAGGAACGCGTACATTATTGGAGCAGGCAACCTACTTATATACAAGACTATTCGCAAAACGCTGCTGTGCTAGCCTGCCATCACAGAGAAACCACGCAGTCCGCATCGGCTGCAGTTACAGAAGCACTGCTGCAACGAATGATTTCCCCACAAAAGTCCAATTGCCGATTCGCGAATTGCTTGGTTTCCACAGCATCCGCTCTGGAATGAAATCTGACGAATCGATCACGGCTAATCACGGGGAGAAGAGTCCACTAGACGACCCTGGGCGCCTCTTTCGACTGAGTGTGACAGATAGTGCACGACATCGCTCCCTGGAAGCAAGCAGAGACGGATGGTGTCGCATGGTTGTTTATTGTTACGCGCGCGCACCTAGGACATATTCGGCGGTAATTATTATTACCTCACGAGAACAGATCTGTTAGGAAACGCCAATTTTAACGCGCCAAACACGGGGAATCTTTATCACACATGGGTACCTATATCAGTATTTGCAGGAGGAGAACAAATTAATCATTATGATTGACCCTATATGGAAGTAATCAC